GTGGCGCGCGATTGAGCTCCGTAGCTCCGAAATCGAAGGAATCGCCCGTCCATGCGGCGATTGTTCCCCAGTTGGAATGTCTAATGTTCTTGCCGAGTTTTCTACAGACGGGGATCGTGTCGGATGGATTTCATGCCCTTGGAGGGCTCTTAGCCAAGGTTGACGTCTCATTCCGTGTTTGGGCAACCGGACAGAAGTCGGAAAGCGAGTTCCAAGAGAAATTCGAAAGACATTTAGACGACCAGCAGCACAGCTTTGCCGGATATTCGAATACGGGATCCCCGGACGCAAATTCGTACTACATTTGCGTCTGGATAGCGCAGCGGCACTTGGCGAGTAGGTTCTACAAAGTGCTCAGGCTTCGATTAGATCTGAAACAAGCGAATCAATGAATATCTCCCTCCAGTTGAGGGAAATCGAATTCCTAGAGCACTCGTCTCTCCGGCTAACGGAGCTAGTCAGTTCGACTCTTCAGAACGCGTCTAACTCGAGAATAGACCCTCACGGAATTAAAGCTGCCAACAATCAGTCGGATACGAGGTCCGAGAACTCGACGGAGCCCGCTGACGGCAATCCGGACGCTCCGGAGCGGAATCGTGCATACCCCACCGCTCATATCAACGGACTGTCCGCCCAGTTGATTCCCAAGGCCGGCAACTTGTATAAAATTTACAGCGCATTTCACCGTAGCCAGCCCGCAGCTGCTCGAAACGACTCTAATGCCACCGACGGAATCGCCTAGGCGCACTGAATGATGCTGGTGCCGGGTCTCCGAGTGACACCGAGTCAGTCCATTCATAGCCTCGGAAAAATCTCAACTCGTTCGACTCTGCGCGATCGAGAGCACCTCTCGATAAAATTGAATCTACCTCGGTCAAAGGTCTTCTGGCCGCAAGCGGGACAGACTTAACACTGTGCGTGAACACGACCCGCGTGGGCAGACCGCGGGGAGACCCGCCGCGAGATCAGGAACAGAACATATCATTGTTCTCAGAGAATTAGAATCGCTGCTAGAACAAAGCACAGTGGTGTCCGCGCCAGCGTTTGCTCACTCGCTGATAGACCCGCGCCCGACAGCCAGCAATTGTGAGACGTTTAAATGCCCCAGATGCGATATTCCCGGAGGCTGATAGATAATTCGGCACTGAGCCGAGGGGACTCGGTCGATCCTCACAAATCAGGATCATCGACCGAGCCATCGGTAATCAAATTATTCCCCGTGGAGGCTCCGGTTGCGGCTTCCTCCTAGGAATCCTTATGCCTCGCAAACGGTGTACACCTGGGCCCTCACACAGAAGCTGCAGCATCAGCGGATTGTCATTCGTCGAATCGGCGCCATTTCTAACGCGAGCACCTGCATTAGAATCGATGTATTCTTGTTCCCCCTGTGTGCATATACTCCGTTGTGGTACATTAGAGGAAACCTTGCTTCACGGAAGCCGACGGCAATACAAGCCGCAATGGCTGCAGTCAACACCGGGCCAAAGAAGTTTCCAAGGAGACGCATCGACCGGGCCTGAGATCGATCATCGTGGAATGAGAGAGGCTTTACCGAGAGCTCGTCCCCTCTATCAGGTGAGACAGACGTTTAGTCTCTGATGACCAAGCGCATTTTGTGGGAGATAAATAGTAGTAGTAGCTAAGGAAGCGCGGAAGCGGTCGCGCAAGCGATCATCGTTTGTGTCTTTGGGGTCCCTTCCATGCGGTCAGTCGGTCAAATCTTCAATCATTATCATTACCTAACTTCGTTCGTCAGCTCGTCTGCTGCTCCACCGATGCATCGGTGCAGCGAACTTCAGTCCGCTGGATTTCGTCACCCCTGAGCCCCTCGATGATTTCCCTCCCGGATAAGGAATAGCTCTAGACGTGGATAAGCACTTACATCAGACATTTTTTACAAAAAGTCATTCTATTCATCCTATGTTCTCTCTGCTCCCAATCGGCTCTCCTAAAAGAAAACTTTTTCGAGCTGATCCACACAGCCAAGGTTTAACGTCCCGGGTACTGTTATTCACATCGCTTCCAAGGACGGATCCATAGAGCGAATGTACCCAGGAGGATCAAGGCCGAGTACCTTCGTTTCCGTAAGGAATATTCTTCCGGCAGCAGGGATCGAACCCACACCGCCTCCCGCGCGAGCAACGTCGTTGCGGCATTTCACGAAGTGAAACGCACGTTTGCACGAGTAGTGACAAACGCGCCAACCACTAGACCACCCGCCGGTGATCCAGAGTGCCTTACTGTGATACAATACGAGATTATGAAGGAAGAAAAAACTCGCAGCATATGCCGCCTTGGGAAGCCCACGCGCGAAAATATTCTATCCAGCGTAAACTGCGATACCATCGAGCAAAACAGCTATAGCAGACAGGCCTATCAGCAAGTTGACGATCATCCGTAGTTCGTCATAGGGGAATCTGCACCAGAACCTGACGATCTTGGCACCAGCCAAGGTTTAACGTCCAGGGCACTGTTATTTACATTGCTTCCGAGGACGGATCCATAGAGCAAATGTACCCAGGAGGATCAAGGCCGAGTACCTGCGTTTCCGTAAGGAATATTCTTCCGGCAGCAGGGATCGAACCCACACCGCCTCCCGCGCGAGCGGCGTCGTTGCGGCATTTCACGAAGGGAAACGCACGTTTGCACGAGTAGTGACAAACGCGCTAACCACTCGACCACCCGTCGGTATCAATCGGCTCTCCTGGATTCCTCGAATCCGCCGATAAATATGCAAAACGAGCGAAATGACGCCGACCTTGAACCCGGGGGGCCCTATCACATCATGCGGTACGTTTGTCGTCGCCTGCAAGGAAGTTGCCTCACGTCGAGACTTGGATTCTAGGACTCTGCGCGAGCTGCTAAATTTCTGAAGAATTGTTTGAAGATGTAAGAATAATCGATGATCATCGGGAAAAGTATTCGCAGGCGATCATGCGCGAGAACAATGACGCCGCAATCCCTCAGGTCCCTCCTCCTACCGAAGTTCGTTTAACGCTGATCGCGGAAAATTAGCTCAATTTCTCCCTCTCGAGATCTCGGAGCTAATGGAGTCGAACCGAGCTATGGGGAGCTTGCGTCGCTGAGGGATACTACTTCCTCCGAGAACACGCAGGGCTTCTAGGATAATTTGCGAAAACGGGCTCAAGATCGTGAGGTTTCCCCGATGCCGGGATACTGCATAGCAGCAGAGTTTCCGCTTCGACGTCAAGTGTTTCTCCTGAATTTTTCCCTCTCAGAACTCGTCGCTGTACCTCCCCTCCAACCCTTGACCTCGATCTCCCCGAACCACTTCATAGGAGAACTTCGTCGCGAGAAGTCTCCGTTTTCAGAGAACTCTCAGAGGAGTCGGGGTCCGCGCGTTCGCATCTGAAGAACACCTCAGGTAGAATCTGGTCTCCGACCCCAGTCACGTTTGAATACCCATTGTTATTCTGTCACTTTCGACAATAGCTGGCAAACCACCAGGTTCGGGGAAATTCGAAACAGTTCTCCGAGACGATTGTGATGGCATCGACGAATGCTTTATGGCTTCATTGTCGATACAGATCGGACCTTCCGACGAATGAACAAACGAAGGGGTTTTCATGAAAAACTGAATGCATTGACGAATGCTAGATGTCCGGAATGTGGGTAGCGTGAAGGTCTCTGATAATTCGGTACAATGAACAAATCTCCCACGACGACTGAGCGAGGTCCAAATCACTCATTAGTGGAAGACTTTCGACTCGATTCGATATCGACTGAATCCACTAAATACAACGGGCACTGTGCTGGAGCCGGACATTGATACCCCACGAGCTTCCACGCCGATTGAGGCTTGTTCATGTGAATACATATTGGAAGTAGCGACGGATAAGCTTCCAACCATGAACTTATGGATCGACGGAGAGCCAACATAGCTGAGCTCAAAAGATGTCGAAGCCTCAGAAGACCACTTCCAATAGGTTCAATACCCGGTATCCCGACAGATTGAGATAAAATCCGCCAATACGCTCTGCCACTGCGAGCTCTGACGTCAATCTGAAAGACATCGTGAAGGCAGGGGACAGTTGTCAGAATGCGCTTTACATATTGGGTGAAGCGATTGCGTTATCCGGGATTCGGGATCAATCGACAGATATTCGGGAGATATCTCCACTGAAATCCACGGACTACTTGCGAAACTCACGAATCGGAGTGGAATCCATCGCAGTATTCTATAGGTGCCCCGGGGGTGACCGCTTGCAGATTCGCCGAGCTCATGGTTGTCAACATCGATAGCGGTTCTGGCTTCCAATCCAGCGGTCGATCCGCGGTCCATCAATCAACATTAGCGGAACTTCGAGTGTTCGGAGTTCCGCTTGGAGCCTCAGTCATTTCTCATTTCAACGAGACATTCTGAATACTTTCGGATCCTGTTGTACCGTCCCAGCGTGGACTACGTGACTGATTGCCTCGCGCTTGCAATGCAGCCGATTTCGGCTGATGACAGCATCGATCTGAATCTTACGGACATGGCGTAATATGGGATAAGTTATGTTGGGAAGGATAATTTAGAACGCCGGAACGGAATGAACGTCGGCTCGATCCTCTATCAGCTCGCGGAGGGATTCGACGTCATGGAGGCTCGCCTGGAGATTGAAAGAAGGCTCAGGCACGCCGAGACGTAGTTTTCTCGATGCTATACTGCTCAGCTGACCATAATATTCCCTGAAGGCGGTATGAGCCAAGTCTTGAATAGTTTAACGGGAATCTCATTGAATTAGATTGGCCTCCGAAGATCGGCCCCTTGAGAATCGCTTCAATAACTTATTACGGAGCGTTTCCCGCGACCAATGCTCCTTGAGTAGAAAAGCGTCGACTCGACCTCGACTCTAACCTGCTGATTACTTTGGAGCTTCGTCAAGCTCGACAACGAAGCAGAATCTCGCATGATTCCTCCAGTTTTCGGCGCATTCGGCTTCGCCGAACGTCACGAGAACACACTGCTGTTCCATGACGAGCTCGCTTTTTATACAATGACAGTTCTCTCGGCGATGAGATTGGGCTACTTGGTCCTTGGCCGCATCGCTTCCTGGTTGGCGCAGTTCTATAACCGCGAATGGTTAGATGTTGGGAACATTTTCGCGCACGAGAATCTCTTCCAAGATCTCTGGATTCCATCGGACATCTTCATGAGTCCCCATAATCCCATGCCCTCGATGAGAGGCGACACCGTGCCTGGCGGCGAGTCGTTACCGGAGAAGCGGAGCACGACAAGGTTGAGGTTCAGAAGTGTTTTCACCATGTCCAGCATCGAAGATGAGCGCGATTGACCGCCGGTTCGGGCACAAATAAAACTCCTCTTAAGATACTCGGCGATGAATATTCATTTGATCGAATCTTCGAGACCGATTCGAACATCGGAAACTCATCGACCTCGCGGCGGTCTTCCGGTTTGATCCATTGCTGTCATCGAGAAAATCCGCGGAGCGTATCTAGTCAGTCGCGAGTCAGGTCTCAACGGTGAATTACCGGGTCGATCTGTCTATCAGAGTCAGACGTCGATGTGACGCGAAAGAAGAAATACGTCGCTGTCTCTCTTTTGTTCGGTATGACTGGACGGGCCTGGTAACTTGAGTCGCAGAGAATTTCGCCGAAAAAGATCCGGAGCCCTCCTCGCTGGCTGACTGAGTGAGTACTTTCCGGCGGACATTCTTCGAAGGCAATGGGAAGTAAGATGGAAAGTCAAATCAAGTGTTGTGTGGCGATCGACGCATTGATTCTTTTGGCGACCTTGGACTTGACCGACGACGAGACAGAAACGAAAAAGCCAACGAGACTCAGATGAAGCACACACCACAGATGGTCGAATAATGCTTTTGGCAATCTGTTTTTTCTCTCCTTCAACGAGGCGTCCAGAAACATACCTATTATTGAGCGGATCCACACAGCAAGTTGCTCGTCTCCACGGAATTCCCGTCGCGTCATAGGGGTGACTGTCTCCGTAAATGACTGCGGTCGCGGAACATTGAGTAACGGGCGAATGGAAGAACAAGCGGGACCCACTGCGTGCGTTAAAATTATTCGATTAGGGTGAATAACTTTCACCGACTAGACTCGACTCGAGATTTTCATGAGCATCAGAAGATCTGTCGAGCTCTGCAACCCACAAATGGAAGCAAATTCCGTCTCGAGGCAGTGGACTTCCGCCTGAACGTTCCGCATTCGTTTAATTTTGAATCGACGAGACCGAGTGCTTTCATCTGTAGGGGGTATCCACAGATGGGCAAGGGGTGGAGGTGAGAATACAGCCGAAGAGCGCTGAGAGTTGATTTCCTGTACATTGAGCCTGTCCATCAACAATGGCTCCCGACGGGGAATCTGACAGGCAGATTCGCAATGGACGGACTTATTGGAGCTGCTGTACAAACCAGCCATCCGCGCATTGTTGGCTGACGATCGATAACGGCGTGTCGAGCATTTCGATGAAATTTGCCGTAGGTTAGTCGGATAGCGGCGTAGAGCGGATCCAGAGCCGAAGCTAGAGTCAATGTTATCCTACTGTGTACTTGGCTGAGGGCGGCGAGCAAGTTTTTTTGACAACTGTCGATTTATGAAGGCACGATTTCGAGAGAGCAGAGCCGGGTCGGTAAACACGCCGCGTCGCACGTCTCACTCAACGCAAACGAGAAACTGTTTGGTTTACCGGGCTCGGTCACCGTCGCGAGCTCCCTGCCCGTTCGGATCCTGACGTGTCGTGTCTCGGAAGGATTTCGCCCCCCCCCCTGTCTCCCAAGCAAAAGCCCCAGCGGGAGGACCAGGACGCACCAGACGAGAATAAAATCGTCCGCAGCATCGATCGGCTCAGGAACACATCTGCCGAGGCAGGTCCTCTCCATACAGCTATATTTACAGTCATCAACGTAGCTCGGAAATCCCTGACTCACGTAGACAACCCTGTATGAGGTAGAGCTCCACGAGTTTTGCGGATTCAATGAAATGATATTCATGAGATCGAGTTATGTCATAGCGGGCCTCGGGTAGCCCGCTTATGGCAATTATCATGTCATGGGAGACGCTATAGTCGCGACGTGCGTCAGTGTTCTCTTACCTCATCTTATTGTCGAGCATCGATTATTATTGTCCAGATTGTACTCTGGGTTTCAGCCAGGCCCCATTTATTTCCGAATTCTAGAATACGTCCGTACACGAGACGAATATAATCCCCGTTCACTCGCGTCGCTGTTTTCTGTCCCGGAAGGATTTTTGCGTTCTCAAAGGCGACGGCGCGGCGTGCTCAATCGGGAGTAAGACGAAAGCGGACGCAAATACGATTCGATAAACTGCCCCAAAGCCTCGTGGAATGGGCTGCCGATAGCTCCGTGCGGGGAAGAGTGAGCTATTTATCCATGACGGATTGTTCCATTTTCGAAGGGAACCTCTCCTCACGGGGAATAGGTCTACGATTCCTGATCGATACAAACGCTTTCGTCCGCTGGCAGTAAGCTAGCGACTGTGGGAGACCCACTCAACGGAGCGGAGAGGTCTTCCGCACTTGTCGGTCATTCCCTGAACGAGGAATATTCTCAAGGAAGGCGGATAGTTTGCGTAGAGAGCCGCATACTTCCGGTTGCTCGAGAAGAGCGACTGTCGAGCCCGAGTACGGAAACTGCCACAAACATTGTTCGTCTGATATCGTCCCCCGATGTCGTGTAAGCAAGTACCAGCTAGCGAAGAACTGCGTATGCCAACTCCCACCTCGATGGGGTCTGCCCTGGCTGTCCGCGGCTGTTCTCCTCCAGAGCGTAACCGCAGCAATTCTGAGCGCGGTAGGCGGGCAACAGAAGCTACGGCCTCCGTATGTCGGCTATGTAGTTCGCCCGTCTGAGAGTGGGTCGACCCGCACGCTGAGGACGTGATCTCGGCCCGGGCCGCCAGTTCGTCCTCGACGCTGCCGAATGGTGGAGAGAGACAGGGAGAAATACAAAGATAGAGAGAGAGGACCATGCTGTTGATTAGAGCCACGTTTGAATGGCGATTTTCCATGAACACTGATATTCGAGCCATATTCATTAAACGCCACCATGATACTAATCTACCTTTACGCATCTCTCTCTCCTCCGCTACCTGGTTTGTTCCGCACCGCGGGTCGCTTGTATGTAGCGGCACAAGCAGTCGATTCGACCTTGTGTTCGAAAACATGGGAGCTACGAGGCGTTCTGGGGGAAGAATAGAGTGGAGCCGCGGCTCGGATCTCATGAACAAAGAACGCCCTGCTGCAACGTTCCGCGGAGTCGGCGAAGACGCAGAGCCGAGAGGCTTCTGAAATAAAATCACGCCGGTGGCTCGAGCTGGCTCACTTGCGTCTCACGTGCGCTCTCCGCACGTAAACTTCAGTAACATTGCCACCACATCTACTCGAACAACATCGGCGCCGTCGAACGATCCGCACCGGAGCTGTTCGGAGACGAGAGTGTCAGAGCGTGCATAGACCGCTTTTATCTGATGCGATCGAACAAGCGAGATCGTCCACGATTCTCTGGAGAGCTCGAACTTACTTTCGATGGGATTAGAAGCCACTTCGTCTGCGTGCATTGTGTCTTCTGAGCTCGATTTCTATTTAGTGATGGTAGGCTATCACGCGGCTTTGAGCTCGGAATCGAGATTGAAACTCGACTGATCACCGGACGGGAGCCCCTTGTCTCGTTTTCTAGAAAGACGCCGTTCGATACGCCGACGATGGAATCCGATTGGGGAATCGCAGTCTTCTGACGGAATCTCGCGCGAATAGCGTGATACAGTATTAACGTGAGCGCGCGTCGTGAGCTGATGGACGAGTTCTCTCTTCGCGCGCACTCACGATAAATGCGTCGACCATTCACCAAATCAATTCTCGCTGCACGGCCTGTCCTGAAAACAAGTCATCGGAGCTCCAGGTTTTCGCGCATCGGAGTTTCCGCTATTTCTTTCATCCGCCACCATCATCGGCCAGGGAAGATTGACCGATCCGTCAATGAAAGCAATCTCCAGATGGCTTTCACTTTAGCTAGCCCCTCCCGAGTCGCGGCTCCCTCGGGTTCCGTTCCGCTCGCATTACATCGGGACATTCGATAACGGCGCGGCGCACAACTGCAACTGAAAATAAAAGCAAGCATTTTCCTGTCCCTATGCTGAGGTCTACAAGTCCCACGAGAGAAGTTCCATCGCTTGGCTCCTCTGGAATTCTATGCTGAAATCATGAACTCCATCCCATGTAAGGCCTCCCCGACTCCGGGAACCTGGGGGATGACCCTTGTCGAGCGAATGCCGAGTATTCAATGCGACTTTCGGTGGGGCTTCTCCCGTCGTCGGGGCTTCTCTGAGTGATTGAGACTCCCCGAGAGAGGCCACGGCTCCCACCGGAGGCTCCGATCTTCGCAGCCGAAGTTATTTGCGTTCTGGATTCAAGCATGGCAGAAGTAGCTCTTCGAGGATATCCGCCACACTGAAGTTCCCGGATTAGGGGAGCCAACACTTTACGTGCCGCCGCCGCTTGCGCCGCCGTCATGACGCATATGGGGTTCGAGTCGAGGCGAAGCTCTTCAGCTTCTCCCGAAGCCTGAGGAGCATCTCTTCATCTCTGGAATGAGACAGATCACAGGGGTTCCCAGAGGATTGACGCGACCACCCTTCCGCCCTCTAATCCGCTCGCGGGAGCTCCCGAAACCCACCTGGGAATCCAGGAGCCTTTGTTTGTTCAAGCGCACTCTTGACGCACGCCAAAATGAAACGTGCGGGGCTCAGTGCTGTTTCGACCACGACCGACTTCCTGTAGCTCCGTCTCTCTTAGCACCCGGCATACCAGGCATAAAGTGCGGAGCCTAGGCAGACCACGCGGCTGTGGTATCGGTTGCGAGAGAGTTTGCAGACCGGAAAGAGCAATCAACTGATGAGGAGCGCTCCCGTTCGCAGTGCCCCGCGAGCCACCACATATTCCTTCCGACGCTCGTCGGCGCCGACGGCGAAAATCCGGAGTGGATTCGGCTTGTGCGGAACTTTAATGGATTTCCGCCGACTCGCATGTCCTTCGGGATAGCCTGCCCGCCGCCCTGCGAAAAATAAAAACTTGATTTACCAAAACTTGCACGTTCATCGAGGACTCCACGGATGATCTCATTTCGAACGATCATCCGCTCCTAATCATCCGTGACTCTGCTTTCGATGAACGAACTTATTCCCGAAAGCGTTCGTGCCGCGTGTGCACGAGTTCGCGAATATTTGTCTATTCGATTAGGCGCAGGAAGATCAGGTGTCGAGGCTAAGCATCCGAGCTGTACTTATCGACTGGAATAACTTGAAATTAGACAAAGGGGATCTCAGAGAGATCTACGGAATCGATCCGAGGTTCCGCACTAGGCCGAGAAGCCTCAAAGACGATCGAAGTAAACCTAAATTTAAATCAGCGCTCGGTCGACGTCCCGTTTCCTGAGGGAACCTCTTGCCCTCAGGAAAAATGCCTGAGCGGCAGTTTCTGGGCAACAGCGATTTCGATATGTGGGAAGTCGGTTCCACAAATTAAGTGATTGTTCAGCGACCTCAAGAATCCCGAGCTCCGCTGTTGACAATCGTTCGCGGGAGCACAGCTCGTTGATGCACAAGAACTAGATCGTTGGAACTTGTCCATTACCGAATGCGGCGTCTGACGCTCAAAAACTCACTCACCCTCTGAGTGGCCTTTATCACGTCTTTGAGGCTCATTAATGCCATTCGCTCGTCTTGTGGGCGTCGAAATAAACTTGCCAAGTTCTCAACTCTCCGAACCACGCTCAGAATTCGAGCTGAGAAAAAAAAGCAGCTCACTTGCTGAGACCGATCAGAGGAATTCCCTCGTCGCGATAATCGAGAAGCTCGTGCTGAACATAAGAATGAGCTCTCCGGCTTGACCAAACAGATCAGAAATTACCCCGCTTCTAGCGACCCAGAGAACTTTGTTCCGTCACCCCGGCAGAGAGCCGATGTCGCTTGAGACTAACTCTCTTAACTATTTTGCACATCGATTTCCTTCAGCGAGTTCGAGGATGCGCAAGCAGACGCTCCGATGGTTCATCAAGCAGACCAAAGTTCCAACTACGCAGCCTCGCACAGATTGGCCTTCCTTGACAAAGTTCTCGAAGGCTATGACAAGCGTGCCTGGCCAACGTATGGCGAAGGTAAGGACGTCAACAACTTCGGTCTGTTTCGACACACTTTCCCAGTTCCTTGTTCCCGTTCAGAGAGCGAACTCCGCTCGAAGCAGAGTAGTGGTGACTTTATCCCGAGTTTCGACCCGAGGAAATTCCGGGACTGGAGCGAGACTTCGTCTAAACCGCAACTCGACATACCGTGGAAAACATCACCGAGATCTGCGATTGCTCGGATAAATTGAGCTGATCAGGATTTTATTGCTCTTCGATCTCATATCGCACCTTGGCGTGTTTGAATTTTAGGCCGGCCGACCGAGGTCAAGGTAAACATCCACGTAAACAGCATTGGACCAATAGTGGCCGCAAACATGGTGAGTTTCATTTGCGAGTACCTAATGCCGAGAAGATTTGAATGAACTCTGCGGAATCGGATGCGCTTCCCTAGGAATGGATCGCCCCCTTGAACAAAATGTTCGCGGCTCGCAATATATTCCGCCTAATTGTCTGTGAAGCTTGTTTCTGCTCAGTGTCTGAGTGAGTGCATAACCCACCCGTCCAGCGAATCCCCCC